TTTTTTTTTTTTGTCTTTTTTCGTGACCGGCAACGGATCGCAACCCTCAGTGTCGTGCCCGCACCGGACCGGCACCAGCAACGGGATCGCAACCCTCAGTGCTGCGCCCACACCTCACCCAGCCAGTGAGCGGCCGGTCTGTATGTGGGATCCGAACCCTCGTCAGGAGCGCCACCGCGCTCCCAAGCGGCGCACTGTAGCAGTGCGCCACCGGGCCGGCCTGGGAAAAAAAATTTTTTAAAGGAAAACCATTTTATAGTAAACATCAATGAAAATATTCCCATCTAAATACAGCCTAGCAAAAAATCTTTTTTTTTTTTTTTTTTGGCAGCTGGCTGGTACAGGGATCCGAACCCTTGATCTTGGTGTTCTGAGCACCAGACTCTACCAGTGAACTAACCAGTCAGCCCCCCAACAAAAAATTTAATACTATAAAACTTCTTTGCGGGCCGGCCCGGTGGTGCACTGGAGAGTGCGCCGCTTGAGAGCGTGGCGGCGCTCCCGCCGAGGGTTCGGATCTCATGTGGAGACCGGTTCCTGCTCACTGGCTGAGCGCGGTGCAGGCGCAACACCAAGGGTTGCGATCCCATTACCGGTCAGTAAAAAAGACAAAAAAAAGGAAAAAAAAAAAAAAAAAAAAACTTCTTTGCAACACTATTAGAAAACAATGGTAATGGTCACATAATTTTTGAGATTATGTTGTATCCCCAGGTAATTTGCCCTTTACATGTGAAGGATTTATAAAGATATTTAAGATATGATAGGGCTCAGACACTTCTTAAAAAATTACATAAATAGATACATCAACATACCAAGAATGAAGCAAAAAAAGAGGCCAGAAATGGAGACACTGTTATATAAAAGAGCACATATGTCAGACAAGGACATGTGGTAATTACTGGAAAGTACAATAAAAAAACATAAAAACATTTTTTTAAGAATGAAGTTGACCTAGATGTACACATGGGAAGTGTCAATGAGGTAATGTTAAGTGGAAGACCATTATGTATGTATGATTACATTTACTTTGCGTTTCGGTGTGTGTGTATGTACTATAAAGATATACATTTATTTGTCCCTATACAAAAAGACTTTTTTTGGAAGTGGTTACATCGGGGAATTGGAAAGGATTAAGGAGTTGACAGAGGGACTTCTGTTTTACCCTATATCCTCTGTACCATCTGAATTTTTTCCTATGAACATGTTTTTGTTTTTAATAAATGAGTCAAAGTGATCAATTTCTCTATTCCTAATGGACAATCTTAAAAAAAAAAGTTTCAAAAGACCTTTATTTACCTTATAATGTAACCCACTAGATGGTCAGTGTGGGGCAGTACAAACAATGACTTTCCTGAGAGTTCACATGCATTACATAAAGCTGCGGCCCTTTCTGAAGCAATGACATCTTCTCCTGTTGATAATCCCCATAAAGATAAAGAGAGAAATAAAATAATTAATGTATTTTTCTAAACAAATATTTCCCCAAATCTGAACAATTAGGAATAAAAACCCAAACCATGCCAATACCACTCGTAGGCTCCTTTAGAGTTCTGTGGGGTTCTTAGAAGTTATACACTACTGTATATATCTTTCAGGAAAACACTGTGGAACTTTCTACTGAGCCAGGAGAGATAGCCAAGTATTGCCAATAGGTACACCACATAACTATTTGAAAAAACATAACTAAAAATGGAAGCAATAATTCAAGAAACCATAAAGGATGCTATCAAGTTTCAACATAGAAATAAAAAATTATTTTGGCCTATAAAAGTCTGGGAAGGTAGAAAAAATAAGTATTTGAAATTAAGACATTTTCTGAGAAGAAATTATAGATCCTACAGCATTCTTCTTTGTCCCATAGCAAATTAAGATAAAAATATTACAGAAGGAATATAATTTCAAACAGATCTCAGATGAGTAAAAATTACATTCTTTTTTTAAAAGATCAAGTGAATTAATTGTTTTTTCAATTAAACATGTCTCCCATATGGGGAGACAAGTGGAACTGGGAGAGTAGGACTTACGAAGATTTGCATTCTTTACTGTTTTTAATTTTTTACAATAACCATTTATTCATGCAGTACCAATAGGTACTTTTTAAAGTTGACCTATCAGCCCCATAACTAAATGCGTAGAAGATTTAAACATTTAAAAAATCATCCTGCTGGACAAGCCTAGGAAATGAAAAAAACCCCAAAAAACCCCAAAAAAGTACCTCCCAGTAATAAGAATTAGAGATATAAAGCAATTAATTATTAGTCTTTTGATACCTGGGGGCAAAGGGGTTTTCTTCTGAATCAGAACCACTGCAACTTTTGTGTTTCTTCCTTGTAAACTTTGCCTACAATGGAAAAGTAATAATAAAATTAATTAAATTGTTTTAACCTAAAAAAATAAAGGTATTCAATATAATTTCAAACAGATCTCAGATAAGTAAATTATATTCTTTTTTTAAAAAAATCAAGTGAGGGCCGGCCCGGTGGCGCACTGCTACAGTGCGCCGCTTGGGAGCGCGGCGGCG